CCCCGCCCGGTCAGGATTTGTCTAGCGCCCCGCTCCGTCACGGGGGTGTGTTGGGGGGAGTCCTCTTTCCGGCTGTCGAAATGGTTATCAAAGTGTTTGTTGCCACATCTTCTGGGTCCATAGCGGTAGGTGTCGGATGGAATGTGTGGGCGTGTTTCCTAACCCGTTTTCCCGGGAAAGGCGCGGGGCGCCCCGCGCGGGCTCTAAGTTTCTGGGTGACGGGGGAGCCAGCCCGCCTCCGGGCAGCGGGGAGCCTGCGCCCCTGCGTCCTGCGCTTGTGTTGAAGAGGTGTGTGAAGTGTGTAAGCCGGTGCGAGAAGAGGCACGAGGGAGGGGGCGTGCTTGATTCTAGGCTGCTTATCAAGTGTGCGTGTCCTGTTGTGTCGCATATATTCTAGAATCAAAGATTTTTGTGGGTTTGTTTCGGTGTGGAGTGTTTTTGCCATTCATCCTGCAGGATCGATAAAAGTTGCAAACAAATATGACACATTGTGTAACATATTTGGAGCGAGGAGAGCCAGATTCCTAAAATGACTCCCGGGTGAAATTACTTGTGTGTGCAGGAACCATACCGAAAGTGTACCATTAGTGTGTGTAATGCTATTATTTGAGGAAGATGATGTCACAGCGGCAGGAGCAAACATCGCTCGGGCCCCAGTTTAAACGCTCTCGGCATCCGAGCAGACCCAACATGGGCCCTCAAAGCCGACCTTCGTGCATTGCTTTTTCCTCGGGACCGGCTGGGAATCGCCCCTCCGCCTGTCCAGTCCCAGCCTTCATTCTGGGCAAGAGAGACAGACCTGCCTTCAGGCACAGGGTAGTGGACGGAGATTCAGGCTTTGGTACCGACATTTCCACCCGCATTTTAGCAGAAGTTTGGGAGGCTGTGGAGAGAAAAGGGTGTGATTAATCTGGGTATAAACGGTGTTTCCTTTTATACCCAGGTCCCGGACATCTCGGGGCAGCTAGGGTTTCAGGCCCACGCAGCCGGGGACCATACCCCAGGTGAGCCGCTGGCGGGAACAGTTCCACGGGCGGCTGGTGAATGCCACCACTCCGAGTTCACCCTTTCCAGAGAGGGTGAGCCAAAAACCAGAGAAAGGAGCTGGGTATCTGACTGGTCAGCAAGTGTCTAGTGATTTCTAGAACAGATTTTAACAAAAAAAACGAGAAGTTCCAGCTGTAAAAACTGCAAAACCTTCCGTGCCTGTGGCTGACCTCAGAAACTCTTGGTTGACCTGCAGTGAGCACACATTTCTGGATTATTTAGGTGAAACGAATTTTGGAGGACAATGGTCTCGGTGGGCTCTAAACTTGCTGTTGACATTCACTGCTGGACACTTTATCACTGACCTGTCAGCTTCTCATCTCATGTAGACCAGGCCATCCCTCCGGAGACAGTGAATAACTGGTGGGTTTTCAGGGTTATTTGATATCCTACGTTCCTGAAGGTTGAGCTTGATGTAGTTAGCCTCAGAGGGCCTGGCGGGGTATCGTTCATTCCAGGATCTTGGAAAAGTCAGGTTAATTCTTGTTCCTTGAGCAAATGTTTTGGTGCCACTTGGAACCGCGTGACCTTGGGAAGGTCATTTCACCTTGCAAAGCCTCGATTTCCTTACCCGTAAAACGAGGTCACATCTTTACTCCTTTCTGCTGTCACATGTGTGTTTCAGAAACGAATTCTTGCCTGGGACCCCGTCAACAGGGCAGCAAGGCTTCTGTTACATGAATGACATAAAAGAAAAATGAAAAAACAAACGATAACTTCTTTATGAGGGAGTACACATATAGCTCTTGGTTTTTTCTTGGTTTGTTAGTCCTCACCCGAGGTTATTTTTTCCATTGATTTTTTGAGAAAGTGGAGGGGGAGAGAGAGAAACATCATTGTGAGAGAGAAACATTGGCTGCCTCCCGTACGTGCCCTTGACTGGCTTGAACCTGAGCCAAACCGGCCAGGGCTATGGCTGTTTTAATAGTTGACCTTAAAGCGAGGTTGCCGTTTTTAGAACCTGAGCAACCGGCCAGGGCTATGGCTGTTTTAATAGTTGACATTAAAGCGAGGTTGCCGGTTTTTACGGTGAGGCCTGGGGCCGAGAGCCTCGGAGCGGGAAGCCTGTGCCTCTTGTGGGACTCTCCTCCCTGGAGAGCACTGCCCCCGCGGGCTGGGGGACAAAGGGAGAGCGGTTGGTCCTCACTGAGTCCAGTGCGCACAGCCCTGCAACCACAGTCTTTGGGACAGACCCTCATGGTGGCTCCTGGGTTCCTCAGTCCTTCCTCCAGCCCTGAGCGAGTGTAAGAACAGTGGGAAAACATGGCTTTTGAATTACATGGATCTTGGAAACTGCTTTAATTTGCTGACGCCTCAGCTTTGTCATTTTAAATGGTGATCAGCCCGGCTGATGTGGCTCAGTGGTTGAACGTCGACCTATGAACCAGGAGGTCATGGTTCAATTCCTGGTCAGGGCACATGCCTGGGTGGCAGGCTCAATCCGCAGTGTGGGGTGTGCAAGAGGCAGCCGATCCATGATTCTCTCTCATCATTGATGTTTCTATCTCTCTCTCCCTCTC